ACAATCAGCAGCTCAAGGCAAATCCCATCACAGAGCCGACTGCCAGTCATTATAGGGAATGACTACTACCAGCTGCCCAGCCAAGTTGATACCTGACCTTAACTACCACACCACCCCAAACAGGCATGGATAATAGGATTTACAATACATCACAGAATGGAGGACAATGGCTAGAAGGGCCACATCAAGCAATTCACCGCAACTCCCCAATCTCAAATCCTAATATATACAGCCACAACAGTTAAAAGAGCCTAGTACTAGTACAACAACAGACACATAGACCAATGGAACAGAACTGAGAACCCAGAAGTAAATCCATCTACCTGTGGTCAGGCGATCTTTGACAAAAGGGCCAAAACTCATTAAATGAGGAAGAGAGAGTCTCTTTAATAAATGGTGCTGGCAAAACTGGATATCCATTTGCAGAAAAATGAAACAGGACCAATATCTCACCCTGCATATAAAAACTAACTCAAGATAGATTAATAAAATTGACAAATCACTAGCAAATTTAGGAAAAGAGGGAGGAAGGAAAAAAATAAAATAAAAAAACTCAAGTTGGATCCAAGACCTGAATATAAAACCTAAAACCATCATGACCATAAAAGAAAAATTAGGGATAAATTTAGGGGCCCTAATTCGGGACATAAATACATTTTCAAACACAAAAACACACAAACACCAGAAGACAAAATAGATGACTGGGATCTCCTAAAAATTAGACACATACATATCAAAAGATTTCACCAAAACCATAAAAACAGAACCTACAGACTTGAAAAAACATTTTGGAAACAACATATCAGACAAGGGACTCATCTCTAAAATTTGTGGAAAACTTCAACATCTTAACAATAAAAAAACAAATAATCCAATTAAATAATGGGCAGAGGACATGAACAGATACTTCATCAATGAATACATTCCGACAGCTAATAAACACATGAAGAACTTCACATACTTGTGGTGATTAGTCATTAGACAGACACAAATTAAAACAACGAGATATCATCTTACTCCAGCACTAATAGCAAAGTTCAAAAAAAAGAGAAAACAACAAATGCAGACAAGAGTGTAGAAAGACTGGAACCCTCATACACTGCTAGGGTGACTGTGAAATGGAGTAACCATTGTAGAAAAAGTATGGCGTTTCCTTAAAAAGCTGAAACTAGAAATACCATATAATCCAGCAATCTCACTACTAGAAATATACATACCCTAGAGAAATAAGTCACGACAGGAACAGATATGTGCCCACTTAAGTTCATCTCAGCACTATTCACAATAGCAAAAAGATGGAAACAACCTAAATGCCCATCAATAAAGGAATGGATCAACGAATTATGGTACATGCACACAACGGAATACTATACAACATTAAAGAACAATGATGAATCTGCAAAAATATTTCTAATATATATGAACTTACAGGCCATTACGCTGTGTGCAATTAGTTAATCACAAAAGGACAAATACTGTAGAAGACCACTATTGTAAAAAGCCAAGAAAAGGGTTTTGCAAAGAAAGAAATATTGTTTGATGGTTACCAGGGGTGGGTGGGGAAGAGAAGGTAAACCACTACCTAACGCAACGCAACGCAACCACTGCCGTGGAGTCGGATCCGACTCATAGCGGCCCCTCCTTGGGTTTTCGTGGCGGTATCACTACGGAAGTAGATTGCCCAGCCTTCCTTCCAAGGAGTGGCTGGTGGGTTTGAACTGCCAGCCTTCTTAGCAGTCAAATGCCTTAGGCACTATGCCACCAGAGGGTAGACACTCATTAACTCAGGAGAAGAAGGCGGCAAAAAAAAAAAAAAAAAGAAAGAGAACACACAGACACAAAAACCCTTCATGCTGAGGGCAAGGGACAAAGACTTTAAAACCCTTTCCTCCCTTGTTGCTATGGAGCAATGTAGAAAACAAGCCTAGAGTTTGTACCATGTTTCCCTGCACTTCCATCTTAAATCAATGTTTATCTCAATGTGGTTCTCAGATCTCAAAACCTCCTAACAAACAGCAGAGAACTTGTCTTGGCAGAAATGGCCAGAGGGAATGAGAAGCTATCAGCCTGGGGTAGGAAGCGCAAGTCTCCCACCATAAAGTCAGAGTTTGCAAAATTCTGCAGAGATGCTGACACTGCTTTTTAAACCTAAACTTCCCTCTATCTGTTTGAGATTTTCCCTCTTTACTTTCCTACAACTGTTCCTTCAGGGGTGTGGCCTCAAGAATCAAGGAGAAACCTAGATTTCTAATCTGGCTGGGGTATTCCTCATGTATCACCTCTGATGCGGATGTATACCACTTTGGGTGCCAGCTCTCAGTTAGGCTGCCCTGCCCCGCCCCTAGGCAGACAGTCTAAAGCTGGTAGACCAGGCTCACTTGACTATTCCTTCTAATTTCTGGAGCTCCCAGCACTGCTGTGGGGCTGTCAAAGAGGCAGGTTATCATTCCAAAGGGGATGGCTCATAAGAACTCAGTTGCTCACCACCCTGGGGAAGAAGCCTTAATGAAAATGAAACCACAGAGACCTCAAGAGTCACATGCAATGACCTCAGCCACTGGAAGCACCTCTTTCACAGGTGGGACAGGAAAAGGCCTAGGAAAGCTTCACTCAAATGGAAGACCTGAACTGAAGTAGGACCGAGGAATCCCTTCAGGCTTATTCCCTGATTTGAACATACTTAACCAACCCAAACCGATGCATTTGAATTGTGGTGTTGGCAAAGAATACTGAATGGACTATGGACTGCCAGAAGAATGAATAAGTCGTCTGGGAGGAAATACAGCCAGAATGCTTTTTAGAAGTGAGTATGGCAAGACTTCGCCTCCTGTACTTTGGACATGTTACCAGGAGGGACAAGTCCCTGGGGAAGGATTTCACGCTTGGTAAAGCAGCAGATGGTCAGCAAAAAAAGAGGAAGACCCTGAACAAAATGGACTGGCAGTGGCTGCAACAATGGGCTCAAGCATAGCAATGACTGTGAAGATGGTGCAGGAATAGGTAGGGTTTCACTCCACTGTAAATGGAGTCACTATGAATCAAATCGACTCAATGGCATCTAGTAACAACAACCACTCAAAGTGAAAACTCCTTTCCCAGCCTCCTACTCCGCTGGCTAGAGCCAAACCAGGCAAATTACGTTACTATACTTCCTCCAGGAGGACCTCTGGTAGTGCAGTGGTTAAAGCATTCAGACGCTAACCAGTTGGTGGTTCAACCCACCAGCTGCTCCACGAAAGAAAGATGAGGCGGTTTGCTTCCGTAAAGATTTATAGCCTTGGAAACCTTATGGGGCAGTTCTACTCTGTCCTACAGGGTTGTTATAAGTCAGAACCAACTCAATAGCAGTGGATTTTTTTCTTTTAATACTTCCTCCATGGTCACTGAGGTCTCTACGTTCCTGATCAGCACTTTTATAAGAATGCAAGAGCTTTTTCCGAGCCCTTCCTGGAGTCTTTTAACTTACTACTGTGGTTGTCTTCTCTGGCCTACCCCTACAAAGCTAGAAATTAGAAAAACATCGTTCCCAAAGGAACATGAACATTTATCCTCACTTATTCAGTTTCTTGAACCCATGTACAGATGTATAAACAACACACAATTCTTTCCCCCCTCACACACACACATACATACACACACACACAGAGACACAGAGAGAGGAAGAGTAGAGAAGCAACCCTAACTAATAATTTTTGTTTTAGGGTAACTAGGCATAGTGTCAGCAATTCTTGGCAAAAGCATAAGGATAAAAGTCAGGTACATGTGATGTAGTCTCCCACCAATTTTCTGTCCTTCAGGCCTAACTATTACACAAGTGCAGAGGGCTGAGCAGTCTCTAACCCCAGTTACTACAAACAAGCAGATACAGGAAGAAGGCCCCATTACCTGCCCCAGTCTGAGGAAAAAGATGACTTGTAGGAATTTCAACATAGTGAAGATATTAGTGGTAAAGGATTTCACAGGTGTCCCTAAAAGATTTCATCATCTCCTGGCATCCCAACGAAGGAAGAGGACTAGGGAAAAAGCATAAGCACCTTATTTTAAGACAAGAAAACTGAATCAAGAGCACAGAAGCCTGAGTCCTAGTTCTAGCTAGTCACAAATGTGTAACTTTGGGCAAGTTACTTAACCTCTCTGGGCCTCAGTTCTTACATGAAATGAAACAACCTGCACTATGTAAGTTCTAAGGTACACTACAAGTTCTAGGACTCTGAGACTCAGTACATAAAACAAAAATAGGGGTAAATTAGGGGGTGATTATGTTATAAAAGATGACCTGGCTTCACCACTAATGACCTTGTTCTCCTCAGACACGTCACCTGACTTTTTAAGTAAAAGGAAGCAGCCTTTATTAAGCAGTAGAATCTTTAGACTGAAAGAACCACCCCTCTTAGAAACTCAGTATCCTCATTTGTGAGATAACGTAGTAGACTACATGACCTCTAAGGCCCTGTTTAATTCCAGGTTTCTGTCATCAAGACTAGATTTACCACAGAGGATTTTAAAGTTAGGCTTCTTTAGTATGTTTTAATTGACTCAATTTATGAAAGAATTCAGAAGGTGCACAACTCTTCATGAACTCATACAATGCTTACAGTGAGGCCCATCCAGCCTCAACTGCCAGTAAGGACCTCTCATTTGGTCACAACTACTGAGCACTTCTGTGTGGCTACCTCAAAGCTCATCTTTATCCAACATAAACATTCTCTTTGCCAGTGGAGACATGTAAAAGAAACAGAAAATACAATCATTGTGCTCAAATAGTTAACACGAGGTGTAGGTTTCAGGGTAAGACACAAAACTTACTAAATAACTCACCAACAATTTAATAATTAACGTAAAACATAAATATGCCAAGAACAGGCTGGTGTGGATTAGTCACAAAAAAGCTTTCTGCAGAAAGGAGTTTTAAGGATCAGACTTTCAAGGGCAAAAGGAACCTCGACTGGCAGAGAAGAGGGTTGAGGCCTAGAATGAGATCCTGAATCAAGGCTCTTTACCTTCCAAGTGTTGGGGGGCAGGTTCCCTGTTCACAAGGCTCCAACCCCCTGATGCCTCCACTCAGTGTCACACAGAAGACGCTCCCAGTATCCCATCTTGTTGGCTATTTTCCAAATGAGTCTTCCTTCCTAGTGACAAGCTCCATTGCCAAGGGGATGGACGTGATGTCACAATCAGGAGCACTCTATTAATAGGAACAAGGAAGAGAAAGGTGAGTCAGGGGAACTACCTCCACTTGGCAGGGAGACTGGAGACTTGGGTCTGGACAGAACTGGTGAGGATGAGACGTTAAGGACTACAGGTTTTAGTGCTAGCCATACAGGACTACCCTCTAAGGAAGGAGATCATTGGTTAAGGAACCAGACTCATGGCCTGGTAGATCCAAACAGATCTGAGTTGGGGAGAAAAGGACAAGAAGAAAGTTAGAGAACAAGAAGAGTTTGACAAAGAAAAAAACTATTTTATTCAGTGCATATGACTACAAAAATAATGCCAGTGATTGTAAATCTGTGGCTGCACAGTGCACAGACCCATCATAGCACCTTACATATGCAGGATGATGTTTTAATATTCTCAGAGTGCTTTCACATCAATTATTTCATGTAAAATGAATTGTGGTATTTTCGTAAGGAGAAAACACTCAAGAATGTTGTCATCAGTGCAATTCTACTCCCAAATCAGAAGTGTTCCTGAAGGGATTGAGCTTAAAAAAGAAAATGAAGAGGCAGTGAATCAGGAAATTATTCCAAGGTGGGCAACTGGGATAACTCCAGATTAACAGTATGATTAAGACAGACTCTCATCATTAGAAGGACAGAACCAGGCAGAGAAAAGTAAGCCTTCAGATGAAGAATGCTGAAAAATCTGTCCAAATATATCCAGGAGAACAGCAACTACTCAAACTCCTTTCCTATCACATGTTCATCAGTAGTTTAAAGGCCATGTTAGGAAGGACAGAATAATTACTATACATGAAACAGAGGCCATCTCATTTTCTGAGTCTGGTAAATATGCTCATTAGTTTACTATGTTTGTCAGCAACCTGTTTAGAGTGGTGTACTCGGAGATAAAGGGTCAATGCCACACACATCTCTTCCCAGTGGCTGGAGGGAATTTTTCTCCATTACTCCTTCCTCTCCCACCCATAATACAAAGGAAGGTATAATACATCTTTCATTTTGACAAACCCCATTTCCCAATACCCTGGCATATGGATCAGTGCTACTGGCTATGCTCTCTCTTCTCCTAGTGACAAGTTCCAGACTCCAAAAGCAAACAGTTAGTCGCCCAAGCTGGGAAAAACAATCCCAGGCTGTACTATCTCCACGATGGCCCCGTGGTCAGAACAAAACAAAAATTTAACTGAGAGGAAGGCCAGGAGTCAGGAGACTTGGTTCTAGACTTGGCTCTGCCACCAACCAAGTACATAACTGTAAATAAGCCATATAAACTTTCAGTGGTTCATTTTCTTCGGCTGACAAGTAGGAAAAATGATACCTGCCCTATCCACCTTATTATGTTGTCTTAAAAATCAAATGAGATAATAAATGTGAAAGCATCCTGAATACGGCTGTTGCCAGGTAAGATCTTGTTAATAACAAGAGAATGAAAAGTAATTTGAGAGTAGTGCGGGGCGGGTAGGAAATGCTTCAAAGCAGCTAGTTCCTTCTTTTCAATTATTGGGAACCAGGCCCAGCACAATGTCGGCTGGACATACAGGGTACTAACTTTATTGCATCTCTTACATTCCCTTGCACTAGTCCACTTTCAGGCCTATTTAGGAGAAGAAAAAACAAAACAACAACAAAAAAAACTGCTGTACTGTCAGACTGTCAAATCACTGTACAGGAAGGAACAAAACTATCACAGCCTATCCCCAAAGGCAATAGCTTGGTGGCTTCATTAACAGCCACATTTACTACTAGATGAAAATAAGGCAATTTACGGATGGCGAAGGTGTCAGTCAATCCCTCAGACAAAACTCCCCCACCCCTCTCGGCTTTGCGCTCCTTGGGGCGGGGGGTGGGGTGGCTCCCGGATTTCCCGTGTGCAGGGTTGAGAAAGGCTTTCCGGTGTGTGAATGCTGCGAAGATGGCCAAGCTGCAAACCAAGGGCAGGGACCTAAGGAATGTGAGATTCCTTCATGGAGGGGTGGGAGGCGGAGGGCAGCGGGGAAAGAATGAAGGAGGAGGACCAGGCTGAGGGGCTGCCAAAGACAGGGCCGGCACAGGAGAGAAGCCAAGCTACGGCGCTTCGAGGGCGAGGGTCCAGGTTCCACCGCCCCTGCCCAGGCTGACTCGCCCCCAAATGTTTCCTCCCTCCCCTCCTGGCCCGTCAATCATTGTAAAACACTAGGTTCCCAGCCCCTCTCCTCCCGGTCCTCCAATCAGCCCAAGCCCCCTCCCGCACTTCTCAAGGCTCCCCTACTCAAACGTATCCTCCCCGACAGCTCAGCTTCCAGAGCTCCTCCTCACCTTCCAATTCTCCCCACTGCTGCCCCTTCCTTTATTTTTCATCTTTACTCCCATCCCTTTTTCTAACCCCTCAATATCCTGAAACCCCATCCCAGCGTAGCCCCCCGACATCGTTCCCCTCCCACACCATTTTTTAGGTGGGAGCCCACGCAGGCGCAGTACGCACCGCCCTGGACGCGGTCTAGACTCTCCGTACCCCGACCCGGCTCGAGCAGAGGCCGCAGCAGCCACGGGACATCCCCGGTGCTGAGTCCCAGCCTCTCCCGGGAGGGGAAGGGGAAAGGGAAGGAGGGAGAAGATGACTCTGACCACTCGCAGCCTTCCGAGACGGTTCTCTTGCCCCGCCCACTACTCCTGCGCAACCCAGCGGAAGCCGTCACCAAACTCCGCCTCTTTGTTTAACTAGTATGAGAAACCCGCTGACCAACTAGGAAGGATGAAGGCTAGCCAGGCCTCAGCTCTAGACCGGAAGTCTTTATGGTCCCAAGGAGGACCATATAGCTTTTTGGGAGGAAGAACTCTATGCCCTTCCCAGCGTAACTATGGGGCCGAACAAGGAGAAATGAGGGGAAAGACTTGGAGTGGAGGGAGCAGACGTCTCTGGGGGGCCGGACTCCTCTTTGAACTAGCGCTCGTATCCCATATCCTAGGGCTGATGCATCGTGGTGCAAGATGGTCGCGGGGAAGCTGGTTTGCAGTGCGACCGGCCGTACTCGGGTCCTCTCCCGTTTCCAGAACCGTGGTCAGCATCCCAGACCCTCCCAACCCTATGACTCATAGTCATGGGAGTGGATGTTGGAGTCAACACAGCGGCTGCGGGGTGGGGAGTGGGGGAGTGTCTGACGACAAGGCATTGGCCTGGGGTGCCCAACGAGTTGCCCGTCTCTCTCCCAGGCGCACTCCTGCGGTATCCACGTTGGTTCCTGGAACGCTCAATGAGTTCCCTGAATCGCCTGAAGAGAGAGCAGATAGAGAAAATGTCCCTCTTATTGGAATCAACAATCCATCTAACGGCGCCCCTTCCCCTCTCCTAACTCACCCCAGTTCTACCCCCCTCCACCATTTTTCTCTTTACTTCCACATCTTCGGATCCCCCAGTATCACGAACCCCATCCCAGTGGTTTGATTTATTGAGCATACAATTTAGTGGTTGGGGGTGCGGGCAGGAGAGAACCAGTCCCTTACTGGGCTCTGAGGAAAGTCGAGGTGGATCCTTAAACTCTCTGAGAAGGAAAGGGATTAAATAAGCCAGCCAAGGTATTATAGTTAATATTGGACTTCTCAGGCTATTGTTAAACCAAAACCAAATTCACTGCTATTGATTAGGAATCATAACGACTCCCTTTGGGTTTCTGAGACGGTAAATCCTTACAGAAGTAGGTTGCCCAGTCCTCTTTCCACGGAGTGGGGCTGGTGGGTTTGAACCGCCAACCTTCTGGTTAGCAGTCAAAAGCCTTAGGCACTAGCACCAGAGTTCTTTAGGCTGTTTTTGGGGACACGTAGTCCCTTCTGACTCATAGCGACTCTGTGTACAACAGAACAAAATGCTTCCTGGTCCAAAGAAAGGTGCCAAAAAGAATGCGGAAATTATCAAATGATACCATTAATACCATCAAAAAAAAAAAAAAAAAAAGTCGATTCCAACTCATAGCGACCCTCTTTGGGTTTCTGAGGTGGTAAATCTTTATGAAAGTAGATTGTCAGTCTTCCCTCCACCAACCTTCTGGTTAGCAGTCAGATGCCTTAGGCACTACATCACCAGAGCACCTTCATTACCACCCGCAAATAAAATGTTGCTGAAGAACAATTACAGCAGTAAATCCGTAAATGGACAGGGAACTGTCAGAAATTCAAGCCAGATTCCAAAGAGGATGTGGAACCAAGGATATCATTGTCCATGTCAGATAGATTTTGACTGAAAGCAGAGAATACCAGAAAGATGTTTCTGTGTTTTATTGACTATGCAAAAGCAATCAGCTTGTGGATCATAACAAATTATGGATAACATTGTGAACAGGAATTCCAGAACACTTTATTGTGCTAATGTGGAACCTGTAAACAAACCAAGAGGCAGTCATACAAAGAGAACGAGGGGATACTTCATGATTTTAAATCAGGAAAGGTGTGTATCAGGCTTATTATGTCTTATGTCTTTTCACCATACTCAGTCGGTATGCTCAACACATAATCTGAGAAGCTGGGCTGTTTAAAGATGAACTCAGCATCAGAATTGGAGGAAGACTCATTCATATCCTGCAGTATGCAGAGGACACAGCCTTGCTTGCTGAAAGCCAAAATGACTTGAAGCACTGACTGAGGAAGATCAAAGACTACAGGTAGCGTTCAGTATGGCTTGTACCTCAACATAAAACAAAATTCCTCACAATTGGATCAACAAGCAAAATGATAAACAGAGAAAAGACTGAAGTTGTCAAGGATTTTGTTTTACTTGGATCCACAATCAATGCCCATGGGAGCAGCAATCAAGAAATCAAACAATGAAAAAAATAAAATAAACGATGTATTGCATTGGGAAAATCTGTTGCAAAAAAAACTTCTTGAAAGTGTTAAAAAGCAAGGATGTCATCTTGAGGAGTGGGTGCTTCTGACCCAAGCCATTGTATTTCAATCGCCTTATATGCATATGAAAGCTGGACATTGGATAAAGAAGATGGAAAAGGAATTGATGCCTTTGAACTATGGTGTTGGCGAAGAAGAATAGAAGAAGAATATTCAGTAATGTGACTGCCAGAGGAAGGAACAGATCTGTTTTGAAAGAAGTACAGCCTCCTAGGCTAATCTGGTTTAAAGCAGTATTTGTAAATCTGCTGCAAAAGACCTCTTTAAACTGTCAAAGAGCAAAGATGTCCCTTGAAGACTGAGGTGCACCTAACCCAAACCATGGTATTTTCAATCACCTCATATGCATGTGAAGATTCTGATATTCATGTGAAAAAAGGAGCTCTGGTGGTACAGTGCCTAAGGCATTTGACTGCTAACCAGAAGGTTGTCAGTTCAAACCCACCACCCATTCTGTGGAAGGAAGACCAGGCAATCTACTTCCATAAAGATTTACCACCTTGGAAACCCAATGGGGGTCATGGGGGTCACTATGAGTCAGAATGAACTCGATAGCAGTGTGTTTTTGTTTTTGTTTTTGTTTTTTAATATACATGTGAAAGCTGGACAATGAATAAGGAAGAGTGAAGAGAAGTTAATGCCTTCGAGTTGTGGTGTTGGTGAAGAATGCTGAAAATTCCATGGGCTGCTAGAAAAACAAACAAATCTGTCCTGGAAGAAATGCAGCCAGAATGCTCCTTGGAAGTGAGAATGGCCAGACTTCGTCTCACCTCCTTTGATCATTTTGTCAGAAGGGACCAGTCAGTCCCTACAGAAAGATAGCATGCTTGGTAGTGTAGAGGGTCATCAAAAATGGGGAAGACCCTCAGTGAGATGGGGTGACACAGTGGCTGCAACCATGGGCTCAAGCATAGCAAGGATTGTGAGGATGGTGCAGGACCAGGCAGTGTTTCATTCTGTTGTACACAGGGTCACTGTGAGCTGGAACCAACTCGCCAACAGGTAACAACACAATTCCTTAAACGTAATGCATATTAGTATATATGCATAACAGTACAGAGCTAGCTACATTTTGTTGACTAGATAATCTGAAAGATAACAATGTAAGGGAACTAAAATGTTGGGCTTTTTCTCTGGGTCCTCACCTAGGACTCAGATCTAGTCAAATAGGAACAGTAAGAATAGATGCCTTGGGAACTGTGAGGGCAACTAATGCAAATATTGCTCTTTGTGCCCGAGTTACTTTTTCCAGAGACCTTGGCTGAGCAGTTTATTAAAGGTGTATACTCCAAATAAAGAGGCCTAGGGCAGTGGAAGAAGAGGAGGAACTTTATATACCGCTAAACCTCTGCTGGGTGCTAGGCACAAGTTTTTATGTTACTTCTGTATTCTCATCTGTAAAAAAAGGACGATAGAATCACATGTCTAAAAATTACCAAGACAGAATTCTATAGTAGAGCTGACAAGGGACAAGGTTGTGGTCACTGCTTGGTCACAGCCAGCTACCCAGAGGGAGTGAGTAGTTGGACCTGTGGGCTCAGGACCATAGTCACAGGGGACATCAAGCTCAATTGGCATAACATACTACACAAAACATTGTTCCACCTTGTACTTTGACGAGTAGCAACTGGGATCTTAAAAGCTTGCAAGCAGCCATCTAGATGCAACGATAGGTCTCTCCTCATCCAGAGCAAAGAAGAATGAAGAAAACCAAAGATTCATGGAAACAATTAGTCCTAGCAACTGGTACACCATGCAATCCTCAGCCTATATGATATGAGACCAGAAGAACTAGATAGTGCCTGGCTACTACTGTCAACCACTTGGAGGAGGATCTATTTGGCGAGATCCTGGATAGAGAGGAAGAACAATGTGGAACAAAACTCAAAATCATTTGGGAAAAAAAAGGGGGGGGGGACCAGGTTTGCTGGTCTAATAGAGCTTGGTGGAACCACTGAGACTATGACCCCTAGCTGCCCTTCAGGTCTGGAATTGAACCCACATATGTTACTTCCAGCCAAACAAAAGACAGGCATATGAGCTGAACATTTACCTGAGGTAGATACATTCCTTGGAGCGAACAATCATGGGAGAAAGAAGGGCGTTTTATGCACAGGGAGACAGCTCAGGGGACAGGAGTGCAGGCAGGGAGGACACAGGGAAGAGGTAACTATCAGGAGGAAGTGGGAGGGGAGCTGCTGCATTGAGGTAAACTGGTCAATGTCATGAGACAAAGTGTATGTGAACTGCTGTATGGAAAGTGAATTTGCTCTGTAAACTCACCCAAATCACAGTTTTAAAAAAATTACCAAGAAAATAAATTAAGCGCTGAAGCTACATAGAAACTTTTGTCCGCCAGACTCCAAAGCCCTCAGTCCTTTTCCCCTTGTGTCTGTCCCGACTTAGAAACAAAATCTTAGAGCCTAGAACCTTAACGTGGATTCTCCCTGTCAAGTTAAGTAAAATTGGTGGCTGAGTCGCCCCCTGGTGGCCTATTTTTCCCCATCGCAGAACCAACCATCTAAACCAAACCAAAAAGCAAACCGATTGCCACCGATTCCATTCCTACTCTAACCACCTCTTAGGCCCCTTTAATACTAAAATCCACCCCTTCACGGAGCGTGAATCCCAGGTCTCGATTGGCTGGGCCAGGGCGGGCGGCGGGACGCGGAGTGCGCCCAGGAGATGCTAATTGGCCAAAGGTGGCCAGCCTGTGGAAACTTCCGGGAATGTCCTCACTCCCGCGTTCCATCGGGCCGCATCCGGCGGCAGCCCGGCCTGTGGCTCCCCCTGCGGGCAGCTCAGCGGCGTGCACAGTCGGGCGGGCTGGCAGGTTAAGTGGTGGGTCGGGAGTGGGGGAGGGGATGGACCGAGTCCTGGGTTGTCCGGATGAGGGTTCGGGGATGTTTGGCGAGTAAGACTCCAATTCCTGGCTATGCAGCCGGTTACCTACCCTCGTCTCGGTGGGCTTCCTCACTTCGGGGCTTAAGACTAAAGGAGCATCCCGAGAAGGGGCCTTCCATCCCGAAGCAGCCTATCCAGAGACTCCCAAATTATGATCTTGAAGTTGGAGGTTCCCGGGGAGATTAGTTTCTGACCTTTTGTGGAGGCTGCCTGATCCCAATCAAGTGCGGTAGGCCTTGGGAAATGTTGCATGGGGGCGAAAGTGCTTGGCGTTGAGCCTCCATTCGCCTTTTCCCCTTCCAGTGGGGTGCTGAGGCTCAGGCAGCATGACGACGGAGACCTTCGTGAAGGATATCAAGCCAGGGCTCAAGAATCTGAACCTCATCTTTATTGTGCTGGAGACAGGTAGCTATGCTGGGACAGTGGGCCCACGGCGCAGATTCGCGGGGGCGGAGGGGGGGATGCAGAACGGGAAGAACATGGTCTCCGTCTTCAGCTTGCACCCAGGATGGCAAGGCCCGCCCCGAAGACATGATCGCTAAGTTGTGGTGGGTGGGGTGTAAGGTAGATAGAACTCTTGCCAATAGTGCCACGCGAGCCTCTTTTCACTCAGGGCTCTCTCCAAGGTGCTGGCCCCTCCACTCCCACCCCCCACTCCCGCCTCATCCCGCCCCATCCCGCCCCAGGGATTTGGCTTATGCAGTTTATATACCTTTTCCTTCACCTTATCAAAATCCAGATCTCATCCCTCTGACCACCCCCACCCCCTTTATCCATTTCTGCCAGGTCGAGTGACCAAGACAAAGGACGGACACGAGGTTCGGACCTGCAAAGTGGCAGACAAAACTGGCAGCATCAACATCTCTGTCTGGGACGACGTGGGCAACCTGATCCAGCCTGGGGACATTATCCGGCTCACGAAAGGGTAAAACAGCCAGGGACACCTAGCTGTCTCAAAGGGTAGCAACAATCAAGGGGGTTGGGATTAGCAAGCCCTGGTAGCATAGTGGCTAAAGCACTTGACTGCTAACCAGAAGGCTGGCGGTTCCAACCCACCAGCCACTCCTCAGAAGGAAGATGGGGCAATCTACTTCCGTAGTGATACTGCCTCGGAAACCCAAGGAGGGGTTGCTATGGGTCGGGTTCGACTCGATGGCACATAACAACAACATAACTTTTGTTGCCTAGTCTTCCTTCAGAGGAGTGGCTGGTGGGTCTGAACTGCCAGCCTTCTGGTTAGCAGTCAAATGCCTTAGGCACTACGCTACCAGAGCTCTTGTTTTAGAGTTTTTAGGTAACTTTTGTGAGGACTCTGAATCTTTTTTTTTTTGCCCCCATAGGTATGCTTCAGTGTTCAAAGGTTGTCTGACACTATACACTGGCCGTGGGGGTGATCTGCAGAAAATCGGAGAGTAAGTTCTGTTCCGTTAATTGGGATAAAGAAGCAGGAGGCCAAGGATGGGGGAGAGTGAAGGTTTGCAGAGAAGGAGCATAGTGGTGTGTAGCCCATCCTATATCTGAGACCTCCAACACTGGCCCAAGGATACATCCAAGGGTTTGGCCATTTTTGTGTTTTGCAGATTCTGTATGGTTTATTCTGAGGTTCCTAACTTCAGTGAGCCAAACCCAGAGTACAGCGCCCAGCAGACACCCAACAAGGCGGTGAGTCCCATGGACATGATGGTGGGGAAGGAGGGCAGGTCATGAAGAAACGGTAGAGAGCAGGGACTGAGTATATAGTTTGTGCCTTCAGGTGCAGAACGACAGCAGCCCTGCAGCCCCCCAGCCTACCACCGGACCCCCTGCCGCTTCTCCAGGTAAACCTATTCCCTTCCCTCCACTGGGTCCTCCCAGCTTCCTCTTTTCTCCTCAGCTTGTTGTGTTGTGAATTACCACTGAGTTGATTCCAGCTCATGGCGACTCTGCTTGTGTCAGTGGAGTAGAACTGCTCCATAGGGTTTACAAGGCTGTGACCTTTCAGAAGCAGGTTACCAGGACTATCTTCTGAGGCACCTCTAGGTTGGTCTGAAGAACAACCTTTTGGCCAGCAGTTGAGCACTGAAGTATTTGTGCTTCCAGGGACTCCATTCCTCAGTCTGGACAGATGTGTTTCCCTCATTCCTTTCCCAAATCCCTTCTCTCTCAGTATATCCCCCTCCACTCAATTCTTTTCCAGATCTCCTCACTTTTGATACCTTTTGTAAGTCTCAATGATGAATGGATTTGGGGGATCTGTTTCTACCACTGTTGGAGCTCAAATACCTATTAGCCACCACCATTCAAGGGCAAAAAAGAGGATAATTTTACAAAGACTGCATGCCTTCATTCTGTTTCTCACTGCTGCTTCTCTGGCAAAAGCTTGCCATTTTCCTACCTTGCCCATTATGATTCATCACCGGATTCTGAGATACTGTTACTTAGATAACTCAACATGTCCACACTGCACAACTTGGGGTCACCACTAAATAGTTCCCTTTTGGCGTCACCACTCTTCTTCTTTTTTTTTTTTTCTTTTAAATTGTGATTTGGGTGACAGTTTACAGAAAAAATTTATTTTCCATTCAACAGTTCATACACATTTTGTTTCCTGACACTGGTTGCAATCCCCATAATGGAACGGCTATCTTCCCCTTCCTCCCTGTGGTTGCCTTTTTCCTGTGTTGTCCTTTCCTATCCGTTCTTGCCTTCTGAGTTATTTCCCTTCGCAAAACTGCCCTTCTGATCTCCCATGGTTGATTGTTCCAAGGAATGTATCTACCTGGTGTAATTGTTTGCCTTCTAGGCCACATCTGTTGTTTAGCTGGAAGCCATGGGAGTGAGTTCAATTCCAGGCAGTGAGTTCATTTCCAGGCCCAAAGGGTGACTAGGGTCCATAGTCTCGGGGGTTTCACCAGTCTAACAGACCAGCAAGCCTGGTCTTTTTTATGATTTTGAATTTTGTTCCACATTTTTCTCCCACGCTATCCAGGATCTCCTATTTTGATCCCTTTCCAAGTGGTTGGCAGTGGTAGCCAGGCACCGTCTGGTTCTTCTGGTCTCAGGATCATATAGGCTGAGGTTTGCATGGTCCACTAGTCCCTTGGACTACTTGTTTCCATGCATCTTTGATTTTCTTCATCCTTCTTTGCTCCAGATGAGGAGAGACCAATAGTTGCATCTTGGTGATGGCCAAGCTCTCAAGTTTGATGGCCACTCTCAAGCTTTTAAGACCCCAGTCACTACTCACCAAAGTAGAATGTAGAACAATGTTTTAGTGTAGTATGTTATGCCAGTTGAGCTTGATGTCCCCTGTGATCGTATTCTCAGGCCCACAAGCTCAGCAATTCCCTTCCTCAAGGTGTTTGGCTGTGGCTAAGAAGTTACCACAAATTTGCCCCATTAGTTCTATTATATATATGAGCATTCTTGTCACTCATACAAATATGTATATAGAAGTCGTCTGCCAAACCTATGTATGTCATGGGTATATTCCCTTTTGCCTACCCATACCTGATCATTTTGTCTGTCTACCTATGTATCCACCTGTAGATTGTTTGTTATTACTGATAATGCAGTGCTGTATATGTAATAGTATTTACCTTTGTTTGTACCTCTTGTGTACCTCTCCATGTCTTCCTTTTCCTTAGTGTTACTGTGCTGTTCACTAACGTTGGTATAGTGCCTTTCCCTTTACCCAAATCAATATATGTCTCTTACCTAGCTAGCAATTTTACCCCCTCTCCCCTCCTGTCCGTAGTAACTCCTTCCATGAGTAAACCTTTCCTTGACGTTTATAATAGTGGGCTCATAATATTTGTCCTTCTGTGATTGGTCACCACTCTTTTTTTTTTT